CAATACCGAAAGCTGATGTTAACGCTAAATTCTTCATTACGAGACAATACCGTCCAATCTGGCACAATTGTTAGCTGCGATTAGCCATAAACAATCGTTCAGCCGTCTTTGGTAGAGAGCCCATATTTTTGCTAGCAGTTAACTAACTTATTAATTATAGACATGGTTGTAAAATTGCAATCCGAAACCCAACATGAAATTTCAATCGATTCATTCATATAGCTATTTAAAATTTGGTCACTCTTCCTTTCCGTAGACCTTGCAGATGTCAAAGCATGTTCTCATTGCCAATTCGAACTATTATGCGGTCTTTTGTCCAGCTTATTGAGTAGGAGCTAAATTCAGTGTGCATAAAACACACAAAGGGCTGTGGGTAATTAGTTGATATTGGTTGCAATCAAGGGATCTATCGCTTTGGTTCCACTACTCGGCACACTCGATTTCAAAGGTATCAAACATTGTGGTTTTATTGAGTTGTGTTCGACCAAGTCATCCTGTTACAACGAGAAAAGTGTAAAGCCAGGATACTTCTGCCTTTCGGTATGTGTATCCAAATCGTTAGTTAACATCGATATATACACATTTACACATGTGAGTTTATTGAACGAATCTTTGTAGAGGACGCCATATTTTCGTCAGCTTTACATCAGACTGCGAGGCTGTTCCCAAGTGATCACAACATCATTAAATGAATGCGGGAAGGATTATGTGATGGACGAACATATTTGGGCGTCTAACGGACAACCGTTTGCAATGAGCCTGTGACCATTTCTCATCAAAGGGAAGGCAACGTATGAAACTTTACCAGTATACATTTGTCCTTGTCAAGACTCTCGTGTTTAGGCAAACGTATTTGATGACAGCATTGAATGTCTTGATAAGACACAACTACAGTATGTGGCGGAAATAGACCGTTCATGCTGATAAGATGTTGGATGACTTAGGCTTGATTACTCAAAGTGCACTTCGAAAAATTCGGATATAACAAATGAAAGTCAGCAACTGCAGAGACTGATTTATAAAAATATTGTACTTATTTTCAGAGTTTACCAAAATGACCACCACGCGCACGTAGAACTGGAGTCGAACTAAGCTAGTCAGTGCGTTTAAAGTACACGATTCAGAGGTTTGTGCTTGCCAGATATCGGTCGAGCTAACAACCCACATGGTGTGGGAGCTGAATCAGGCGTATTTGTTAAGCGGAATAAAAGTTGGTTGATTGAGCGATTACCATACACAGGCTACCCAAATACATACAAGCCAAGTTTGAGGTCGAAATGCAAGACCCTCAGTTGCATTTTACCATATCAGAGGCTGCATGTGATTAAAAAAATGAGAAAACGCAGAAGTTCGGACTGTGTGTATTTAATTCACAACGATATTGAAGAAATCCGGGACGGAAACGCACGTGTTCAATGTGCCAGCTATTGTCAAGTGTCGTAAATTATGTACACATCTGTTAAATTTTAAGGCAAAGTTCAAGTTCAAGTGGGTTTATCTCGGAAAGACCGGACATCAATTGCACACATTGCCGTCTTGATTCGTGCTTGTTATCACTGTGAATTCTGCACATGTCTGATACGTGATTTTCAGTTAATATAAATCGGATGGTTCCCTATGGCGTTCTCCAATTTGAGAGAAGCCCTTTATTCATCCGGGTCAAGTATTTTTACATCGAGCGCAACCTTATTTCATGTTAAGTTTGCACATGGGTGGACTTCGTCGGCGGTACAAAATATATTACCACACATGAGTTGCCTATTTGCACCAGGCACCCCGGGCTAATAGTACGCAATCCAGCAGACGGCTGATGTAATAATTGATGAATAATGCCACAACATAAGAAAGGCCCCAAGATTTAGACGTGCTTTACGGCACAGGAGAAGATGAAAACTGGCAATCCACAAACGATCAAAGCATAAAAGCGACAACAGGGTTGTCTGGAATTGTTAACAAAAACGGACTGTTGTCTATCTCTTGATGGTGCCATTGTATACTTATAATTGATTCCAAACTAATGACAAACGTTTTGGGCTCAGAAAAAAATAGTTCCGCAGTCGAACGTACTCTCTTCCTTTTGTAACCCGATAGCAGACTCGTAAACCCCAAACTGATGGATAGGATGGTGTGCAGATGGTTGCGTTAACAAAACTTTATAGCATTTTCATTGTTAACCTGCCCCGTCTGACTGATATACATTGTTGGTTTATAAACTGAATCTTCTGCGAAACAGCGGAATCCTGGAGCACCATCTTCTGAACCTGCCTTTTCAAAAGCATTGGCGAGGACAACCTAAAATAAATGATTCCTAAGAACCACATGCAAATTTCGGAATACGGGTTTATTAGGAGACAGCAACTGGCGTGATGCGATTCTAGTTGAGTAAAGGCGGAAATGTTAATTCCCTGGAAAGTCCTCGGAGCTTGTTTAACGCAAACCCTTGGCAGCTCCCGGATTCCAGCGGTCTATGTACCTCAGCTGCATGGAGAACTTAGACGACTAAGGCAAAGCAACATGGTAAAAACATCACAGTCAATGTTTTTCTTTAAATTTTGGGAAAAGTCTTTGATCGCAAAACCTCACAGATTGAAAAAATATCATGATCTTATATATTACCTGTTAAACAAACCAACCTTTTGAGGACTTGTGTGATTGATGAGAATACAATTCGTTGTGCGTCGAGAGATTTGTCGAGTGGCTCAGCAACCAGATTTTTGGGAATTATTTTTGGTCCTAATGGAATTACATTCCCCTTGCTGATCCAATCGTCTTAGCATTCCAAATGAACGCATAAGAGTGAAATCGGAGGTAATATAGCAATATCACTTTAAAGATTCCTAGAACTGAGAATTAAAGCCCACAAATTCGTAAATACACAGGCCACATCTCCTAACCAAGTGTTGAACTTTCACACATAGCGACAAACGAAAATTACAGACTGTCAGTTAGTACGCAAATGCAGTGGTACCTGGTCATTTTGAACAACTTTTGAACCGTTCTGGAATGGTGTTCAATTGCATATTCGACTCGATGACTAGGAGATTTCCCGTGAGTGTTACTTTGCTCGAGATACGCGGTGAACTGAGTGAAACCTGCCCTGGGTCTTTTTAATAGTTTAAATTAACGCATGTTGTGTTGTGTAGGACGAAATTAAGGCAGCTCACATAACAGTTCAGAAGCTCCTTGTTTGCACAAATCTATTTTGGAATCTCTACAACTTAACCACAAGAAACCATCGGTCGTTTAGATCAATGATAGTAAAACATCTTCTTTACGTCGCTTATGCTCTCTACACATCAAAAGACATACTCAGCTGCCTTTTCGTAAATGTCCCAATGATCAAATTGAGATTTTCATTCAAAGAAATCAAATCACTGCCAGGATTTCAGACGCGATGCGATGAACCGTACAAGAGCTTACTCGTATATTCGTTGTAAATACTACGGCGCAGCAACCTATGCTTGTATGCGATATACAACTTTTGACTTTACTAAATATTAGTTAATGAGTGAACGCAAACTCTCATGGCGACCACCGGTTCCAGTTTCCTTGTTCCTCCTCTTGGATGAGTTATCCACCAAATTTTCGAGTGACGCGAATAACGCGGTAATGTTGCATGTGATGTTCAGATGTGCCGTTTCAGTTTACGTGCTAGCTATCTCCTACGCAAGCATAACATCTCGAGACAATTCGTTTTGTATAGACCAGCTGTCCATTCAACAAACTCTAAGCATCAGATTGACAGCGTGTGTGGAATTCAGTGAAGCATGTATGGCGAGAACGTGTAAACTGTTATCCCACAGACGTTCAGCTTCCACATACGCCGATTACATCCGCCTATCTGGTCATTTCAAGGGCACACAATTCAACCACGTTGGCGACTTTTAATGAAGTAGGTTTTAGAAATGTTGGGGAAATTTCTGACGGGAATCTTCGTAAATGAGTGTTAGCCATTCAGCTAAGACTATAAGCCCTCTTTTACGAGAGGCCAGTGGAAGCCGTTGCACTGTCTACAGTCGGCTAGAAAGAGCAAAGTAATTTTAAACGGACAATATCCAGCGGATTCAAGCACGTTCTGCAACGACAAGCAAGTCGTTTGTGTGGATCATTTCAGTGCATAAAGTTTGGGCAGAAGCGATTTGGTCAGCTTTGCAATATTGGTGGCTAGATCATCTGGGCATTCTTTGTGGAATAGCATTTGAGTCATGTTGATCGTTCGACACAGTACGAAGATGTTTATTTCCTCACTTCTAAATGACGCCCGTTCCCAAATGGTGGACCATATTGTTCGGGTATTTGAGGGTTCACTAATTCCATGTTTCACTGATGTTAGTTAGTTATTCTCCTTTGTACCGATCCCCGACCTTTGACATTCTTATGTCTTATTATCTCCCAAGATAACCTCTACAATATCCTAGTCTAAGAATAAGGGACAGATTTCTTTTCCTCTTCATTAGAAAATTCTCAAAACATTTGTATTTACTTACTTATTTACTTATTTACTTAATTAAAAATTCTTTGAAATTCGTGATCCGTTCACACGTAAAGGACAAGTATACTTAAATGTTCACATTGTTCACTAGAACAGACCCCTGACTTCTCGCGAATTTGAGTAGGCTAAGAACGTGTTTTTCATACGTCCTAGATAAAGTTAACTCCTGATAGATTACCCCATCCGACACAACTGAGAGTGAATCGGGTAACAGTCCAATTTTTCCTGTTCAAAATGGTTAAAACTATCTTAGATTACAAAGTACTCACAATCTAGACAACACAGAGGAATATTTTTTCCAAATCTTGACCTTTGAACTGGCGTTGAAATCTTCCACAGATTATGCAAAAATTGCCCCCAGCCCTACATTTCGTTAAACTGTCTGTAGTGTCCAAGAGATTCCATGCAAAACAGATATCAAGACTTTTCAGCATGTGATTGGATGCTCTCCTCAACAAATAGGAAAACCGCAGATATCACACACAGACATATTAATATTTCACTGACAATGCGAACACAACTCGTCTGCAACGCGCTTTCCGAAATGTTGTGGCAAGCTTCTCTTACACTCTTCATTATGAGTTCCGTGTGCGATGCTATCGTCACCGTATACCCATTTGATGCACCGTATTCGGATGTTAAGTGTAAGTTAAACCACAAAACCCTCAGTCTTTGGAGAAATACTTTGTGATGGATAGCTGAAATCCTCCTCATGTAAATACAAAATTCAGCTCAAGGAATGCATAGTGAGTGTTTAAAACCGTGTCCGTCGACTATGTTTCCTCTAGATTGACTGTTGGTAATATGACCGAAAAGGCGGCTGGCAGATAGCTTTGTACCAGCGTACTATTTCTTATTATGCAACACCACATTGATACGTTTCAACGCGCCTCACTTTTGTGTGCGAATGACGCTTGAAGACGCTCTAAGCCATTGAACTATGTGATACTTCCGCTAACGAAATTCAGTAGTGCTAGCTCCCTGTGCTCCGTTGTTTTCACTTATTGTCAAAATGATGCATACAAATCATTCAATTTTCAGCCATGTATGTCACGACCAGAGAGCCCGAATCAACTGAGTGGGATGATTTGTGCAACTGGGTGAGCTACCGAAACTACTTGTCATGGCTATTTTTCCACGATCCTGTCGGACGAAACTTGCCACATGTTTTGTTAGTTATAATAATGTTTTGTGAAACTGTTTCCAACATACTCTTGTCCAAACGAATTGTCAGTTGACAAACATACAAGCAGACTTCCAACAAAGCACATTTACTTAAGTTTGCTACTGTAAATAGTCAATAGAATGAACAATGGTATCCACCGGGCATTTGCTCGGTCGCATAACCCCCACATCCAAGCGAATAAATAATCCATTTTGCCTACGCCACAAAGGTGCCAGGTTCAAACGTGTTTCAGGCAGTGCGGAAAGGTGAGGCATAGATTGCCCACAAATTTACCGGGCCTCAAATCCCGGTGTATAAAAAGAACAACAAATTTGATGCAACTTCGGTCACAGCGTCTGAAATTCCTGTAGAAAATATGGGCTTGCGCACCTTTATGGAGAGTATAGGTAAACAAATATAAAAATATTGTTAGTCGGTGTCCCATTGTAGCACTATATGAACGCCAAGAGAATTTTGAATAATGAAAATTATTGACTTGTTTTACCGTTCCATATTCCAATGAAGGAAGTAATTTCATGATTCCCAAGGTCCTATTTTAGCTGCGTCACAAAAGACCGTATGGCTGGCAGTTGGGTTTGATAGACCGGTGTCAAGTTCACAAACAGGACCGAGGAACTGTGACTATGAAGATTGAACTATTATTCCATAAACTTCCGCATCTCCTACACACTGTGCCTACTGACCTTCAGTCGTGGGCCCTCAACTGGATGTTCTGGGTTGAAAAAGAACCCTGTATTACAATTGTTGGTAAGTGAGTTTTACTGGACATTCTAAGATAAAATATTTCTCATCGCCGCAGGACAAACCTCAGTGTGCGAGTTTGCTAGAAACTTCAGTCATGTTTGGAAACTAAATGTCTACTAAAACGCGGATTATTCTCTCATTTGTATTGCAGACGTACCTGGTCGTGTGCTTTTTGACAGTGTACAGCGTAAGCTCCTCTATAAATCCACTGTCGCTTGAAATCATATAATTCAGTCCCACGCGATCAGTGCGATTTTTGTTCAGCTTTTGCATCATTAGTATCTGAAATTGTTTGCGTTAGTTCAAGAAAGATATTTCTCCGAAAATCTTGAAACTGATGACACTCTGTGTTAAATTTAAGCATTATCAAACACGAGACATACAAAGCACGTTTATTCAAAACAGAATTTCAACCCACGATACGTCTAAGTGTAGGCTTCCAAGCAACAGAATTTTTGTTACTGAGTATGTCTCATGAACATTGTACTTCTGCACACTAGAAGCTCGCCAGAAAATACATTTGTAGCTGTGAAGATCACAATTATTTGTAAGCGATGAGCGCGTGGGAGTAATTTTAAGCTCACTTTATCTGCTTACCGTGGCGACTGTAGCTGTCTCTTGGTTGTATAAAGAACTTAGCAGTCGAGCGTTTCCCCACCTACTTGCTGGCAGGGTTCACTGCGATTTTAAGCCAATGGTTCGCAAAATGTTGAATTTTGAAGATTGTCTTATTTTATACCAGTATTATAGACTATATAACCCCGTTTAATTTCGCTCTTCTTTAGAGTTCTGGATCGTTGGACCAGAAGAGGAAAACAGTTGCAGTAATGTAAATATCCGCGTTGTTTTCTCAATTGCGTAAATGCGTCACAGATCGATTCATGGTTGACATGCAGTGCCTGAGTAACACTTTCGACCTAGACATATCGTATTCTAGTTAATTAGTCTTTTTTCAACATCTAGGTCATGGGGCTTTCATTGTCTGGAATAATCATCGAAGAGTGTAATGATTCAATGTTCCTTCCAACCAAACTCAAGTGGAAGACCATCGGTGTACTGATGGATCAAAAAGCAACCAGATACGCTGTGCATCAAGTCGTCCAGGCCCTTAATGATAAACGCGGAAAATGCGTCTTCAACGGTCTTCTCGCAGCATTTTCGGACTAGAGTATCTCCAACCCTGCTGCTTGTTACACAGCAAAACGTTTCCTAATCGAATACTGTAAACAAACTTTGTGAGTATTTGTCATGTACCGTAAACACTTCCTTCTTTTTTCTGATATTTTATGTGATGTTCAGGGCATAAAAGCATCGCCCAAACTCTCGGTTTTCTTTTGTGAACCTTTTAAATTTCTTTCTCATCATCATTGCATACAATGTAGGTTTGCGAGAAACCGTGATAAATCAACGTTCTTTTGGAGTAACCATTAATTGCTTCAGGAAATTAATGGTCACCATAGCTGGTTGAATAAATATCCTGCACACTACAGCAATGTGCAGGTTCATGTATGTTGGTAGAGTAAAAATATTGCGGAGTGTATGACACCTGTTTGGCTATAGAAGTGCGGTGCCTTGAAGACGTTTTGTTTGCAATCTAACTCAATTATTTTTGAAGCCCAAACGCAAAACATGCAACAAAGCGTTGCACATCACTCCTTAAATACTGCACCAGCAGGGATGAGCGCAACGTTCAGCCTGCTAAATCCGTGTACCGCAACATCCGCCTCAGTAAGTGTTCGTGGTTACAATTGAACTTTTAGATCTCCGTCGCCAATCGCTTACGGTGCCCATTAAGAAAACTTCCTCCGGACGAAAGCATGGAGCACTAGGTTACCATGATTCAGTGGTCAAATTGCTAACGCCAGGTTGAGTCCTGATACGTGTGGGATCAAGACGATGTCGCGCCAAATGGAATAATACTGCAGTCCTCTCCACCATTAAACCTCGCATGCAGGTTGACTGCATTATATTGCCCGTAGTTCAGGTTCAGCATACGCGGTGTACTGTTATGGTTCTTTTCTGGAAGGACAGATTCTACTTTTTGCCAAAAACATTTCCCGAACCATAAACTATCCCAATATCAACATCTGCTCATTGGTCAGTAAGCAGGTTATGTCGGATTAGAAAATCGGCCAATCAAGCAAAAGATTGGGCGAGATAATAATGGCTGAAACGCTTCTGAGTTGTAGCAAAAAGGCAGAAATTCTAACTTCTAAGTGTAGAAGTTTCCTGTTTCAACGGATGCTGATATGATCAGACGGTCAGTTATTTCAACGTTCGAATCAAGCACCACCCTCGTAGTGCTAACTATTTTGATTCTTTTTCCATCAACCCTTATGCGTCTACTACGGTTGGACTTCCATGGACTGCCAAAATTAGTAGGTAGAATTTTGAACGATTCATAAACGTAACACCCTTCGCCAGCATTCGGACGAGTGAACTAAGGGTGAGAATTTTACCAGTTAGAGAAGTGCAACTCATGGGTTTGACACAACAGGAGACGCAACGGACTGTCCACTTGTTGCCCACTTGCGACAAGACCGCCAACACCACTACGCTCATTGCTGCATGCGAATCTGGGTTGATGAGTAAGAATGTCTACAACCTGAAAGCATTTTGTGATAATGAACGTAGGGTCCTCATTGCGATTCGAACATCTTGCTGCTATTAGCGTTCACTTATCACCGACTTTG